TGAGATGCCTAGTTGGGTGGGAGGAAAGAGCTTACTCCTCCTAATTTGTTCATTGACCTCCATATGAACAGAATGTCAAAATGGCATGGTGTGTATTGTATGTTCATTCTTTCTCTATCATTATGTATGTATGTATGTATGTATGTATGTATGTATGTATGTATGTATTTCCCCCTCTCAAAATAAGTAAATGGATATATGTTATTATTTTAAATTCTGATCAGTAGATTTCCATACACTATTCATATGAAATAATTAATTTTTAAAATAATGAAAAAAATCGATGCAGCTCACAACTGTTTGTAACTCCAGTTCCAGAGGATTTGATACCTTCACACAGGCATACATGAAGCCAAAACACCAATGCATTTAAATTAGTGAATTAACAATTAAATTTTTGTAGGTGATAGTGGGATCAGGAGCCCCACAAGCATGCCACAGAACTAAATAACCTAGGCTCATAGTGACTCAGAGCCTGAACCACCAACCAGGGAACATGCATGGGACTGACCTAGGCCCTCTGCACATATTTTTCAGTTGTATAACTTGGTCTTCTTGTGAGACTCCTAACAGTGGGAGCAGGGCTTGTCTCTAATGCCTGCTTTTGGGACCCATTCCTCCTACTGAATTGCTATATCCAGCCTTAATAGAAGAAGTCATGCCTAGTCCCACCACAACTTGATATGACATGGCAGGCAGATATCCATAGGAGGCCTGCACATTTCTGAAGAGAAGAAAGAGAAGGTAGAATGGATGTGGATCAAGAAGAGTGGAGGTGGGTGGAGGGTTGAGAGGAGAGGATGGAGGTGAAATTTTGGTTAGGATGTAAAAACAAAAATAAATAAATAAAATCATTCATTCTAAAAGAAGGGAGAATATTGATGTTTATCATATTTAAATTTGAAATACTAAAAAATGTCCCTCAAGGGACATTGCTACTTATTGTAACTTTTTATTGTGTTTGTAGTTGTACAGGGATAGTTAAATCATGCTAGGTATAACTTTGAGCTGGTCTAATACATAATGTGTTTGGTTTGTACTTGGAATAATTATATCATGTTTAGGCATTATTATGACCTGGTTATTGTTTTACATTTAGAAATTAATCATGATATAAAAGATATAATTGTGTGTCAAGTTGACATGG